ATTATTATTATTATTATTATTATTATTATTATTATTATTATTATTATTATTATTATTATTATTATTATTATTATTATTATTATTATTATTATTATTATTATATAATTTATCTATTCAACGAAATATTCAAGAAGTTATCATTTTTGTAAACATTGTCTTACCCACGAACCTGACCCACTAACCCAACCTACTAACCTATTCACCCATTATTCCCCCCTTTTCTATTATCTCTATTCACACACTCCTTTCTCCCTCTGTCTTTTCTCCTATTTCTATTTTATTTCTTTTCATCCCCTTTTCCCCCTCCCCGTGTTTTCACAACGCTACACATTCCAGTTTTGAGTGTTTTGGACGCACGAATAGAAAATTAATTTGTAGACCACATTATCTAACTTGTACTTTCTTTATTTTATTTCTCTATTTTATTCTCTTGAGAGTAGGTTTTCTTTTTTTCTAAATTTAAACAAAAATGGTTGCACATTTATTTTATGGTTTCATTGCACAAACTGGTTAAGCTGAAACTTGAGGAATACTAAAAGAATATTCTGCTAGTCTTGCCTTGGCTTGGCACCTTGAGTAGCCCGACCCCCCGACCCCACCCCCACCCACAGAGCTATATCAACGGCAGAGTAAGCTCCTCCTGGGAGGTTCAACCAAGCTGGGAAGTGTGCGTGGGTAGGGGTCAGACTAAAGCAAGCACCCTGGTCCTCCAGGTTGGGGTTTGAGCATCAGGCTAGAAAGCTTATTTTTTTAAAAAATAGAACCCGCTACAGCAACCAAATTAGAATGCAATAAAACTTTTAAAACCAGTGAAATTGGAGCAGTTCTCCAAAACATGATGAAAAGAATATTAAGACCACAATTTATGAGTTGTGTTTTTATTTCTGTTGCATCGTATTTTTCGTTAACCCTATATTGCATACTTGTGAAATATGGCAACGTGCCAATAGAGTCAGTATCGCAAACTCTTCGATGCAAACAATAAATGTGCATGTTTTCAATAAAAAGAATTTTAAAGTTTTACTGGAAAATCAAGTTGCGAGTGTGTTTGAAGTAATAAGTAACGAGCCGACCCGCGGCGTATCATACGCCGCTAATTTTAGTTGTTTTATTTTCTACTTTTCAGTCATTCATAATGTGTGAATTCGACAGTATCAACGCTGCCACTGAAAATATTTGCTTTAAAACATTATCAGTAGGTCATTAAGGACGATACTCCCCCACCCTCCTTTCCCCCAACCCTACACCCCACCCCCACCCCCGTGAAAGCAGCCTCCTCTTAGTTACCTCCCGTAAGTTTAAAATAGTTTCAAACTAAATTATCTGCCCCTAATAACCGTCACTAAACCCGGGATATGCTTTTCATTGCACATACGAGATAATATTTTTTAAAAATATTTAGGTGTGGTATTTATCAGTTTTCAGCCAGAAGATGGAATTAAATTCTAGATATTTGAGAATAGTTTGTTGTCCACAGTTACATAGGGCCTTTTTCAATAGGGGGACGAGACGATGGTCGCTAAAGGATATCGGGAGGGGGTGGGAGGGGGTTAGTACCCCCGGGAGAGATGCCTGATAGAAGCACTGATGCAGTCCTATGCATAAACCTGCCACAATATCTTAGTCACTAATGTTATTGGTGTTGCATCTTTTGGTGCAGCCAATGTTTTTTTCAGACATCACTTCCGTGGTAGGGGCATCGTCCCCCCCCCCTTCCCCCCCCCCTCCCATGAAACACGTTTATACCCCCCTCCCCCACGAAATAAATATTTAATATGCAAAAAAAAAATACATTAACCAGTGTCCGTCCGTCACCTTTCCCCAAACGCATGTTGGCGACTAGATTATTAAGATCAGGATTATTTTAGTTCAACATACAACTGTTAGTGCATTGCGCAATTGTCGCGACAAGGCTATAACTTATATGCCATCCACTTATGTATCTCTACTGAAGGTGTATACATTCCTAGCATACCACACGGTAGCCAAAACTGAAGCAGGTAGTTTTAAATAATGTGGGTCTGTTGGCTATGACGCATTATGCGGATATTCAGTGAAACACTAGGTTATGGTAAGTAGAGTTTTTTATCGATTCATCCATTTTAAATACACAAGAATTGAGTAATTTGGTGCAGTTTTTTTTATGTCGCAAATTTTCACGAAAAATTAAAATTGAAACTTCATCTAATATTTTTATTTCGCGTGTTTTTTTTTTCAAAAGTATTTTGTTCTTAGCAGCCTCCTTAAATGACGTCACTCATTTCTGAGAGTTTTTACCCTCACTCTCCTATTGTCACACAAGGTCACACACAACTAGACGTGCCTTAAAATGACGTCATAGAGCCCTAACCCCATACATTATCCGTAATTCTAACGTTAACGAACTTGGGTTCATCATTTTTGCTCTATAAAATTCCAAAATGTGTTATGTCACATTGCTCAAGCCTTCTTCACCCCCCCCCCCACGTAGCACATCGTCACAAAGGTGTAAATGACGTCATCTACATACAGTGTTTCTTCCAGGCATCTCTTCGGGGGGAGGGATAGGGAGGGGAGGCGAAGAAAGTCTACCACCACCCCCCCCCCCCCAGAACGAAATGGAATTTATGTAGAAAATAAATACTTATAACAGTGTCCGCCCCCCCCCCCCCCCTCCCACCTGGAGAAAAAAGTCTGGAACAAACATTGTCTACATACTATCCACATATTACATTTAAAATCCACCGTTTCGGCGAATGTGAGACCATTTAAATAATGTCAACATACGGGGTTTCCCCGATTAGTCGAAATGACGTGGTCACTAAAATAGACATGTAAATAAACAAAACAACTCGGTTAGACAGTTTTCCAAGGAATTTATTGATTGATTTTGGACATGTACCACAAAACGAGGGCACATCATTGAATATTAATTATAAATCTGACGTAAGATGGTAAGTGTTTTTGAACGTATAAACGTGATTCCTTGTTGGGTAAACACATACTGAGTGGTTATTTGTTACTCTTAGTCTTTGCTTTAAAGAATAGTCACCAAATAATTTGTAGCCTATCAATTTTATCTGGTGGGGTTGGGGGAGTCTATACAGCGGTGTGGGTTGGTGTGTGGGTTGGGGTGTGTGTGTGGTGATGTGGGTTTGTGGTAGTGATGTGTGTGGACGGATAGTCTGTCAAATGTGTAGTACAATGTGTAGTACAATGGTGTGGTGGGTGGGTGTGGTGATGTGGGTGTATGTGGTTGTGTGAATGGTAGTTCCTGTCACATGTGTAGTACAGTAGTGTGGGTTGGTGTGTGTGTGGGAGGGGGGGGCGTGGTGATGTGGGTGTATGTGTTGGTGTGTGTATGAATGGAGAGTCTATATACTGCAAACAGCAGTAACATTAACATTTTCTACAATTTTCATTTACTGTAAATACAACTTTTCTGTGTACCGTAAACAAAAACGATGATCGCGTGTTTCTTTCAGTCTCCCCCCACCCCTTCCTCCCACAAAAAAAAACTATACAGATAACTTTTATGATTTAGAAAAATGAATCTTAATTGGGTGTTTATTAAACTAAAGTTATGTTAAAAAACAAACTGCTCGCGTTCATTTCCAGTTAAGAAAGATCTTCTTTAGATCGCCACATACATACAGCTGAACAAACACGCTTAGAAATTTAATAAAGTCATGTATTATCACCCCTTTTTCACCACTAAAGAATATAACTTTGATGCCTCAAACTAAAAAAAAAAAATTCATAAAAAACGTTTTAATAACAAGCTTTTATGTAATGATGCACTAAAAAGTAGAAAATAAATTATAGACTACTATTTAAATAACTATAAAGAAAAGCGTGGGTCACTTTAGTATCTATTGGATACCTTTACTAATGTTAAGGAAGACACCCACGCTTTTCTTTATAGTTATTTAAATAGTAGTCTATAATTTATTTTCTACTTTTTAGTGCATCATTACATAAAAGCTTGTTAATAAAACGTTTTTTATGAATTTTTTTTTCAGTACTTTACATGTTTTATTTACAATAGAGTTACATGACTAAAAACCATTGCTTTTTGAACGCAGCCATTGAAGCTATTGAAGGTGATGACGCGTGTGGTGTGGTTGGCTATACATGCCTACTAATTCGGTCCAAATTTTAATTAATTAATAAAAAATTAATTAGGCATCCAATTAAGTCAAATTTAGTTTCAGATTGCATTGTCTTCATGTCTTGACCCACGTGCCAACTGTGAATCGTATCGGTCAAGTAGAACTGTCCGAATTTTCACTCCTGCGTTTCCGTCTAGACAGACAGACTGACGACAGAGGAAGTGAGTTAAATAAAAGCTTGTAAAAAAAATTTCATAAAAAACGTTTTAATAACAAGCTTTTATGTAATGATGCACTAAAAAGTAGAAAATAAATTATAGACTACTATTTAAATAACTGTAAAGAAAAGCGTGGGTCACTTTAGTATCTATTGGATATCTTTACTAATGTTAAGGAAGACACCCACGCTTTTCTTTATAGTTATTTAAATAGTAGTCTATAATTTATTTTCTACTTTTTAGTGCATCATTACATAAAAGCTTGTTATTAAAACGTTTTTTATGAAATTTTTTTTCAGTACTTTACATGTTTTATTTACAATAGAGTTACATGACTAAAAACCATTGCGCGCCTACTGAACATCACGTTCAGTAGGCGCGCAATGGTTTTTGAACGCAGCCATTACGTGATGGCGCAGCTATTGAAGGTGATGACGCGTGTGGTGTGGTTGGCTAGACATGCCTACTAATTCGGTCCAAATTTTAATTAATTCATAAAAAATTAATTAGGCATCCAATTAAGTCAAATTTAGTTTCAGATTGCATTGTCTTCATGTCTTGACCCACGTGCTAACTTTGAATCGTATCGGTCAAGTAGAACTGTCCGAATTTTCACTCCTGCGTTTCCGTCTAGACTGACGACTGACGACTGACGACAGAGGAAGTGAGTTAAATAAAAGCTTGTAAAAACACATACACGTATCCGCTAACCTCTTCGCATACATACACATACATTATTCTAAAAACTTATTACAGCAAAACCTAACCGAACATTTATTTCTCAAGCTAGCCGTTCCTCTATTTTAAACTTGTATCCTCTCATCGGCTCCTTGATATAATCTCCAACGACTTTTTCATCTCCCATCTCCTTCTCTATCGTATCGTCAACGATGATCATCTTCAGCTTCTCCTGACCTATCTCCGTCCACAAATACTCCTCACAGATTCTGCTTCTGGCCTGAACATAAACAATGCAATCATGGGTTAACTTTTGTAACCATAAAAACATCGTTTGTTTATGTATGTTTTAACTCATTGAAAGATAAAAGTGATCTTGTTTAACTCTTTAATTTTGTCATAGATTATTTTTTTTAAAAATACATAAAAATTGCTCAAATAAGTTTTTTTTTTTTTTTTTTTTTTTTTTTTTTTTTTTTTTTTTTTTTTAAAGTTTAAATAGGAGCCAGAATTTAGATTCGACTAACAAAGACTAAATATGACGTGAGAGTAAGGTGGCCACTAACCCATAGCGTACGTGTGAGACTAATCATAAAATTATGTTACCTCTTTGACCTTCTCGTCAAAAATAAACAGCGCCACTCTTGATGGTGTCTGGTTTAGATAGGTGACCAAATAACTGTGGCTTTCTGGTACCTCTTCTACTTCTGTTGTATACATAAGTATAGAAATACTTACAAGGTTCAACAAAGGAATACGCTATTCATATATATATATATATATATATATATATATATATATATATATATATATATATATATATATATATATATATATATAGGTTATATTTACATAAATATATACACACATACACACAGATATATATATATATATATATATATATATATATATATATATATATATATATATATATATATATATGTATATATATATAGACCTATATATAGGCCTAATATGTATATAGGTCTATATATGGTATATATTTATATATACATATATATATATATGTGTGTATATTTATATACATGTGTGTGAGTGCGTGTTTATGTGTATGCATATACATAGTTAATACGACATCTGCACTCAGCTCTATGTTTGTTTACCATATTGATGGCTGCTGTCCTCCATCTTTGAAAGGTCGTCGTCTGCTCCTATAAACAAAGATATCAAGAAACTTTGTTATTCTTCCCTGCCTTTCAGAGATTTCAAACGTTTTTGTATCTTTTAAGGTGTGTGTGTGTGTATTGTAGGAATACAGAACTGATATATAAGGGGGATAATCCATACATGTCGTCAGGCTTTTTTTTTACGAATTTTACCTCCCCTCCCCTCCTTTAGATATTGTCATAACCCCCCCCCCCCTTTTAAATGACGTATCCTTCCCCCCCCCCCCCTCAAATGACGTAACACATCAGCCTACAACCCTTCTTTCCCCCTCAAAGTTGCATTTGATTATTTTTTCAAACATCGATTTTTTTTTCTAAAATATTGACTGATCTCGGTCAACATAGAGTATTGTAATCAATTGTATTAAAACAGTTTTCCAAAACGCGAAATAACGTAAAAAATCAGTTTCTAACATTACTCTTTTTTAATGCAAGTGTGCCGACCCCCTACTTACATAACATGTAGCGTAAAAAGGATGGTTTATAATTTAATTACATTGTGTATTGATGTAAAGATCGTAGAGAAAATTACACTTTCTTTTTTTTTATTCGTAGTTTTGCTAGAATGTTTGAATGTAGGCATGACACAACTGACCCACACGTTCTTTCATTTAACAATATATAACATTTGCTTTAAGTCAAGTTGTTGCTATAACGCTAATTAACACCATAATTTCTCAATATAATATGATATTGATATAATTTTTGTTGTGGTACATGATTGTGTCGTGTTTGGTTTGGTAGAATAGAGGGTAGGGGTACGTAATATAAGTGAGGACAGTCTAATACTCGATCTAGATCTATATCGTTTCGTTATTATTGGGTGGGTGGGGTCAAATATCCGATTACCCTAATTAGATTTGTTATTGAAGCTATTTATTTACAAAGCTGCTTAGCTAAACAAAAACACATACTGATATTTTTTTTAATTTAATGAACACTTACTTTTTTACGGCGTTAAAGTAGACCTACTTGAGCCAAGAGTCCCTCTAATCTCTAAACTTAGGATCTAGGCCAACTGTGCGAATATAAAATCGTCAACGTATAACACAAAAATATTGAAGTTTTTATTTTACACAATTACTCTTTTAATTCTTTTATTTTTTATTTTTACTCACATGAACTCAGAGTTGTAGACAGTTGTTAGAAATTGATGTGTATGGTTTGAATTTCTTAACAAACTGAGCGGTAGGACTTGCTTATTAGTTTATTTTTGATAATCCATTTTGATGTCGCAATATCGGGAATTCCCACTAACTGGGTTTTCCTGTGTTTTCTAGTTTTTATGTTGAGGAAATATCCTTTCCTGTAAGTGACCCTACTTAACTAAAGAGGGCAACAAGCAATCACTTCCTACTCAATACTCGATATCTAGGCCTACTTATTAGATAGCTAATAATAATTGCTTGTTTTAATTATTGAGTTATATTTCACACCCATTTACTAAACCTTGGTTGTCTAATTAAGTTTGCTACTACTCATTTGTTATTTAATATCTAGAACGACTAGCGTGACTATTAAGTATTAAGTATAGATCTAGTTACCTGTACTACTAAGCAGTGTTTCTTTCAGCCATCTCTTTCAGACCCCCCCCCCCCCCACCCCCCAGCACATCTACCGACCCCCACCCTCGCGAATGAAGTAGAATTTATAAAGAAGGTATATAGCCTACTTTTACCAGTGACGTAAATTTTAATAAGGTTTAATTTATTTTTATTTTTTAGAAATATTTTTCGAACAAGCAAAGTGTCGCAATATTGTATTGCCCCTCCCTTACCCAGCATCTGTTTAGTGAAGTATTTAGGCCTAATGTTTATATCAGTGGTTCTTAACCTGGGTTTGATTGAACCAGAGGCGTAGCGAGGGGGGGGGGGGGCGGGGGTGCGGACCGCACCAAGTGACACCATTTAGGGGGGTGACACCAAGGCAAAATATAGCAAAATATATAGAGAAAAAAACTTGAGGGAAGGTGCAAATTGAAAGTTTGAGGGGGGTGCAAATCGATTGAAAGTTTGTCCCCGGGAAGGGTTGCTACGCCTCTGGGGGGTTGGGGGTGACACTCGACCTCGCTACGCCACTGGATTGAGCCCTGGGGTTTCGACGAGTCAGTACCAGGGCAGTGGCGGAACTAGAAAACAAGGCTCCCCCGCAAAAAATCAAAATTGGTTGTACCGAAAATGGCAAGCAAGAAACAATTTTATAACCTGCTTGTCAAAAATATATAAGCAGGCAAGCTTGATTTACGCAATGGTTTCTCGCGTTTTGTTTATTTATATTATTTTTTGTGTTTATATTATTAATTTTGAAAAAAAATCATTTTTATAGATACTATATAATTTTTTAGTATGTTTTATTTAAATAAATAATTAAGAGAATCAATAAAATTGCTTTATAATTTACATAGTGCAAAACTATTTAATTGAGCTTTATGGGCACCCCTATTTTATAGAAGGGCAGTAAGTCATGGATGTAGTGTGAACGATTGCCTATTTTACAAACTACAGCTCTTGTAGATTTTAAAATATTTTTCTACCCAACATGGTGGGTTAGCTACTGTAGAGCAATCACTGTTATAGTAGACCTGTGTTTTTTTTTACAAAAACACTAACAATGTGCAAGAAAAACATTTGTAAAAAGAGAAAAAAAGTCATTGTTTTTTGGTCGGAATAGCAGATCCTTCACTTAAATGCGTATTATTTACCATTTGTTTATGTAATTCAAAATCAAACGATCTTACAGATAACGTAAACACATTCTACAAAATTGAGCAAATGTAATTAAATCATTTGGTAATATTGTGATTTATGGGGGTATGGCAGCAGTGGCGTAGAGAGGTCGGGTGTCACCCGGTGCGGCACTTAATGGTGTCACCCCTCCAGAGGCGTAGCGACACTTTTAATTTTCGATTTGCACCCCCCCCCTCAAACTTTTGATTTCACCCCCCCCCCCCCCCCCCCACCCCCCCCCCCCCCCCCCAACCCCCCTCAAACTTTCGATTTCCACCTCTTAAAACACTATTTAACACACGAATTTATCACTTACTTTAAGTGGAATTATCATTTTTCTCTATATATTTTTCTATTTTTTGCCTTGGTGTCACCCCCTTAAATGGTTTCACCCGGTGCGGTCCGCACCCCCGCCCCCCCCCCCCCCTCGCTACGCCTAAGTATGGCAGTGTGAAACAGTGTCTTTAATACTCTTTCGCTTTGTTGCTAAACTTCTGCTAATTAAAATTAGATGTTTATTTATTATGTCCTGATCGGGGGGGAGGGGGGTTACAGTGGACGTGCTTTGGTGGGGGGGGGGGGGGGGTGGCAGTATATTGCCTGAAAGAAACACTGAACGAAAGTGGTAGTGGGTGTAAAAAAAAAAAGCATGACAATGACAATTTATTTGATTTATGGTGGTCGACACTGCGCCTTATAGATTATAGATTTATAAGGCTTGGATCGCTGCAGTGAACAGAGTTGCTTCCACACCCCCCCATTCCCAAAAACCGTCTACACCCTTCTCCCCCCCCCCCCCCCCCCCCCCCTCCGAACGAAATAGAATTCATATAGAAAATATGTACTTGAAAAAGGTCTGGAAGAATCAGTGACAGTGAATGAACCAACCATAGAAGAATAACGTTTCGTTTACATTTTACCAGTGATTCGTATTAAAAATATTAAATTAGAGTAGTTTATTGATCGTTTTTTTTTTTAAATACTTGCATTCGTCAAACATGATTTTTCCAGAAAAATGTTCTAAATTGCGAAACTAATTATTGATTGGCTGTATTATGACTATTATCTCACGACCCGCAGGCTGTCGTAGGCTGGTCTGTTTTCTAAGTATTGTCAAGTAGAATCAAGTAGACGTTTGTCCCCAGTTTAAGTGGTTTGCAATGTTTGGTTTCAGTTTTGAGTTGCGCAAGGTCGCGTCAAGTATCTTACAAAAAGTCATTAAAAAAAACTTAGTGTTTTCTTATGCGAAACAAAACAAGTCTAAGTTTCATACTCTAGATCTGCCAGTAATTAATAACTGTTTTACACGCATTTTTATATGACGAAGTGGGCCAATGGCCTATACTAAACTAAATATTACACGTTGGCTTGTACCACATAACAAAGTAGGTCAGTATATATATATATATATATATATATATATATATATATATATATATATATATATATATATATATATATATATATATATATATATAATATAAAAAAGTATGTCAACATCAACACTGCATAATAAAGTGGGTCAGTGACCTACTTCACACAATATAGTGGGTCAGTGGCCTGCACCATATCCATATATAATAAAGTGGTTCAGTAGTCAGCTTTAAATAACAAAGTGTGCCAATGCTTTGTATTAAGGTGTCAACAGTGTTTCTTCCAGACTTTTTTTCTCCGGGGGGGGGGGGGGGGGGGGTGGCTGACACTAGTAAAAGTGTATGTTTACTATATAAATTCCATCTCGTTCGCCCCCCCCCCCCCCCCTGGAAGAAACTCTGGGTGTCAAGTGGTCAAGCTAATTTGCTTATACCTGGACACAAAAAAGAAGTTAATGTGTTTTTTTTTTATCTCAATAACTAAATAGTACAAAACTACAATATAATTCTCATTGCTCATTCTTAACTCGAAATATGGGCCCTATATACCGTATAAACTTTTTAAAATAGTTAATTAATACCTATTTTTTAAATTTTAAAGTTTGCACTCATTGAATAGTAAGCTAATGCAACGTTTATTGTCCATTTCAAATAGAAAACACAATATGATGTGTTTTGAAGCTCAAAACTTAAAGTTTAAAGATGTGTGTTGCTTAGAACTAAGTTACAATCATAAGAGACATCAAGTAAAATGACTATTCTATTTTAAAGTGTTTAAAATATTAAGCAAAACTGCAAAATATAACTAAAATTTAAAAATAAAAATATTGAAAAAAAACCATAGGAATTATAATTGTTTTTATTACAATAAATAAATTTAGATCTAGCATTAAGTTCATCACTGCATTGTGAATTAAACATATTCAGTTTTCCATTTTTATAGCATTTTGCTAACTTATTTTTAAAATTTGCCCACACAAGAAAATATAAATTTAAACAAAAAGATATAAGTCTAAACAATAAACATTATCAAACAAATGTGAAGCAAAATTTAAGTATAGAGGCTAAAAATAAATATTAAATAGCAAAACACACTAGTAGATTAGTAGTTGACATAAAGTTTCAGAAAAATCAGGAAAATAAATTATATATGCATGCAAACAAAACTGACAATAATAATTATTTTTTAATATTAATAAAAACAATCGATTTACCTTTATGTTATATCTCAGGCTTTTAAACTGTTTTTTATTACCATTATTCAAATGTAATTTGAATTTTTTTTCAAATTCCATTTGAATAATGTTAATGAACTTAAAAAACACACTCAATTTGTTTCTTCGTAAATGTGTGATTCCTAAAAACTCTGCAGTTCTAGATGTTTAGATGTTTATCCATTTATATGTAACCTATTTTGATTTTTAAATGTATTTTTTTTCCACGTTGCTGCAATATCATTTATATTAGTTCTTAAAATACTTATGACACATTTGTTTTTTTTATCAGTATAATCATTATGATTAGGGTTAGAGTAGTGATACTAGTGAAAAAAAAGTGATTCCAATATAAAATCCATTTCATGGAAAACATGAATATCATTTTTAAAACCCAATTCCAAATGCACTTTTATAAGTAAACAAAACAGATTCATAACAAAAATACTTTCAAATACTTATATTATATATATATAATAAAACTAATAATAACAATATCAATACATTTTTTAAAAGAAATGTACATGACTTCCTAGTTGTAAAGAATTATTTTAATCATTGTCTTTTAACTTCAAAACAAATTCTTTTGATATAGTTAATTTTCTAGATAAAAAATCCAAAAAATTCAAGCAAAATTTTAAAGTGGAAGAAACCATTTCCATTTAATTAGTTTCAGAGCGCTCCACAAATCGGAAAGTATATCCAGCTGTATCTGCTGGCACATAGTAACCTAGTTGCTTAGTGTCTTCCATCACAACTTGGGCATCAGTCCCTATTTTAATGGTCATGTTGAGCTTCTCCACTGGTACCTGGTTCCAGTTCTTGTCTTTACAGACTCTTACTTTTCCTGACAATAATATCAAAGCCACCTTATTATCAAACTACTGAATATTTATAGTTTATTTAATAGACATTTAATAGACCTATTT